CCTCTACATCTTTTCTTTTATGACCAAAGTCCAATTCTATCTAGATTTTGAATTATAAAATTAAAGTCAATTTTAACTCAAAACCCTAATTTTGGAGAATTATTTTAAAGCAGAATTTGGCAATAATTGCAATACAAACTTTGCTCCAAAAATTGCGCTAAATAATTCTAGATGATTTACAATCATAACCAAACAAGTTTTACTAACCTAGCAAGCATGATTAGGGCAAAAACAACCCTAAACAAGTGTATGCAACATTTACGTTTCACAAGCATGTTTCGTATGTTTCGAAGCAGGGTTTTAATTATTATTTACATGATTAGGTATGTATGATTAGGATGCTTGATGATGTATAATATGCATGATTTGCAGTGCCTAAATGCTGACATAACACCGGGTGTTGTTCTGACTTCTCTGAGGGGTCGACAGGTCGGGAAGGCTATCTGTAAGCATCATTCGCAATGACGATGTTACAGCTAGCCCAAGCGAACTATGGGGGCTTGTCTCCTCCGTCCCGTGATGTTCTTACTGGACTGGACAGGGGGTGACCCGAGCACCTTTGCGTTACGGATTACGTCTTGGCGGCGTGGCGCAGCGCGCTTGGCGTCGAGCGCACTGCAGCGAGTGGTGGCGGCTAGCTCTGCCGCTTTATCGTAACTCCTCGCCGTGCTCCTATGCACGTCGAGGCCTCCACTATAAGGGTCCGAAGGGGTGTGAGTCTCAGAGACTACTGCTACCACCGGCCAAGGGTCATCCCAAAGCGTCCTTCATAGCACACTCCTAGGACAAAGGGTGGCCAGGTGCCAGGACATCGCCGATGCTGGAGCCTTACTTTCAACCTCGTCATCCATGAGGTTGTGGAAAGAGGCGGGAGCGTTGCCAGCCATCCCCACGAATTTGAATGTGAGAGGGGGCGGTGTTATCATCTTTTGGAGCCCCCGCGCGTATGCGTCCGTGGGGGACGCGAGGCCATAGGGGAACCGGTCGCATGGCAGTTGCGGTGGGGACAACAGGGCCTCTCCATAGAGTCGGTAGAAGATATTAAATAGTGAGTAAAGAACAATATGTACGTTACTCACAGTGGGGTTTGAGCCCAGCGTGGGCTCGGAGCGAAGCGCGGTGTCTCGTCGTTGAGGTCATCGGGTAGCCCAGAGCTGACGGAGGGCGCTCCTCCTCCGACGGGCACCGGGACAAGTGCCTCCTCATGGAGGCGAAGCATGCCGAGCTAGTCGGCGACGAAGGCCAGGCTTCCAAAGAGGAAGGTCTGGAACGGCTTGAAGATGGAAGGAACCCATATCCCAACAGGCGAGAGCATGGAAAACTCCAGTGAGCCAAAGCGAATCGTATCGCTTGAGCCCATCATGCCGAAGATGGCAGAAAGGTGGGCCATCCGATGACCAAAAGCGTGAACGTACGACGTCTTCCCCACGGACGGCGCCAATTGTTGGTGCAAAAAGTGACCAACAAGTAAATATTTATAGTTTTGCGGTACATTATGATCAGATGTGGCCTAGTACTCAATGACATAGGGTTTATACTGGTTCAGGCAACGTGCCCTACGTCCAGTTTCAGTCGATCGGTGACTTTATTCCTGAGCCTAGGTGCTCGAAGTTTGCTGTGGGGTTACAAATGAGTGGGAATAGAAAGGGGGTGTTAAAGGTCCGGTCGGGCTCTGAACCGAAGGGTCAAGAGTGACGGGAGCTCCAACGTTCGCTAAGTATTGGAACATATGCTCTGTGTAGCTTTAGAGTTCTAGAGCTGTAGAGCTGTTCGAGTGCTCAGAATGTCTAAGTTAAACAGAGAAAGAGAGTCAGAATGACCGTCCCCTGTTGGGAGAGAGCGCATCCCCTTTTATAGATGAAGGGGGTAGCCTTACAAGAGAGAGAGAGGGAGAGAGTACATATGCTATTAAGTCTTGTTGCCCACGCTGTCGGGTACAAGACGGTTATTGGCGGCCACAATACTGTTTATGTCAGACACCTGTGGTAGGCTTTACCGTGTTCGCCTGGTATGGCAAATGACGGCGCCCACAACACTGTAAGGCAAATGTCGGCGCTTACAACACTGTTTGGGCTCTGACATGCCTGGAAGGTTGTAAAGCACCCTTCTGGTATGTCTATTGTCCTACAGGTGTGCAGGGTACGGTCCTCGGTATTGCGGTTGACTTGAGCGTCTTGCCTTTTCTGCTCCGCCTGATTCTCGGGTCCTCATCGAGCGGGCGTCCTGATCGGTTGTTCCCAGTCGGCTCCGACTATGTCGGTCGAAGAAGAGCTATAAGCAGAGGTTCGTCGCATTCCCGGTCGAAAAAACAGGTCAGAGTTAGAAGTGAGCGTCGTCCTCTCCTTGCCCAGGCCTTCCGGTCGGAGACTGGATCGCTTTTTTGGCCTATCGTTAGGTAACTGGGCCGGCCCAGGAGTCGCGCGTTGTTGTAATGCCGTCTGCTGGGCCGAGCTTTTCCTAGGAAGCGGGCCCATCAGGGACCCTGGGTTTATGAACCCGACAATATCTTTGATCGAAAAGTGTGGTATAGTGATAATCTATACGCATAGCTTACGTGACAACAACAAATAGAGAGGCTTCATACTTATTTTCTTATGACCGAAGCCACCTGCCTTCCGCTTCCAAACGATAGTAGGGAAATTGCCCATGCGTGGATATCTCCCCTATGGTTTGGACGGGGATTCTACTGTCAAGAAAATCCCTCCCCTCCGATTTGTTCCTAGGGTTAATCACCCTATGGCCGCCAAAGTAGCCCTGAGGGTGGGTTTAGAAGGGAAATGTCGCTCGTCGTCATTGTTTATTGCCTTCGACACGTACCGATGCCAAATGATTACGGACGAGGTGTGAGCTACATCTTGTGCCAGCGATTGCGGACTAGTGCCTTGGCGAGAGGAGCGGCGGCGGGTGGCAATCGGGAGCAGAGAGCAGCAAAGCATGGCTCTTTCACCGGATCTAGGAAAATACGAGATACAACCGGGCCTCTCGCTGGAAGGAGCTGCCGGTCCTCTCTCACCTGAAGGCCTCCTCACTTGACCAGAACCCGTCCGTCGGCAAAGCAGGCATCGCCCAGATCCGTGGCGTCCTGCTCCCTCGCAAGGAAGCCGCCCGGTCAGGTTGCACCGGTCCCAGCCGGCCCGGCGCCACCAACACCTACATCCCGGCTAGGCACTCCCTAAGACGCATCTCGCTCATGCCAAGACACATCTCGCTCAGTGCTTCCTATTTGGGCCAAGGTCCGTGATGAACCGGGGGCATTGCTTCTCCCTCCCACATACGCCACATTCGTGAACACACAGATGGACCCACTTGTCATCCACCCGAGTGTCATCATAATCAAGAGTCAATCTTTCGAGTGTCTTTGCAATTTTTTCCACCGGTGCCCCAAAAGCAAACGAAGAAGAGGAGGCCGGGAGCTATCGTTATTTAAAAAAAAAAATTACTACGTGGGCACCATGTCTAACCTGCACCTAGACCCAATAGCCAAACAGAGGATCGGATGTCAAATCTTTGTTTCCCCATTCCTAACCCACCTCTCCATAACCCAGCTCAGACTGTCTCTCAGTAAGAAGGCTATGCATCACGCGACCTATACCCAAAATGCCTAGTTCACATGAAAGAAACGGCCTCCTCACAGAGTAGGCAAAGGAAGACCCAGGTTGCGTCGGAGGTGAGAGTGAACTCAAAATGCGTATGTCTCTCCCTCGACCCAAATTGACGATAGGAGGAGAAGCTCGTCGGACGCGACTCTTGCTCGAGGAGGATCACCACAAGAAGAAGCACGCCATGACTAGGAGCTTCTCGTCGTCCATGACCACGGCGAGAAACCGCACCGACGCCGGGTGGCGGCGGAAGCCTGCTCATAGAACCACCGCCGTTAGAGCCGGGCGCCTCAATGAGAAGCGAAGAAGAAAAGCCCGTGGCAAGCAAGAACGACCACGACCACGACGAGACCAGGGACGTCTTTGCGGCGCGAGAACTCATCCGTGAAAGGGCACGGGTCCATGGCAAAGCGGCGGCAGAGCTCGAAGCTCCCACCGGTCTCGCCTGAAGGGGAGGGAGAGGAGGAAAGGGAAAAGGAGAGAGGGGAAATAGGACGCCACACGGGAAGCTCACGTGGCGGCGGCCAGTGCTTTAATCTTGATGGAGGTAGTAGGCAGCAATTGCAAGGCTGTGGTGTAGAAGCGAGCGAGAGGGGCCGGTAGTGGCGGACGTGGCGGAAGAAGCGATGGCAACCGGCTCCAATGAGGAAGAAGCACGGGGGTGGCAATGGTGGTGGAGCAGAAGCGAGAAGAGGAGGTAGAGGAGAGCAAAGCAGGGGCCGACGCGAGGGTGCTTGGCCGCTCAGCATGCTCCATCGAAGAGCGAAGGCGCGCCTTCGGCCTCGGGTGGAGCTACAGCAGAAGCGGCGTCGGTGTGGAGCAGAGTAGAGATGGGGAGAGAGAGGAGAATGGAGGTGGAGCAGAGATGGGCGGAGTTGCAGAGTAGGGCGGCGGCGCATGTAGGACCCTTTGGATTGGCTGTCGGAGAAAGAAAGATTTAGCTAGGTAACTTTTTACTGTACCGAACTCAAAACGTATGGAATGGATTTTATGTTTGGGTTTTTTCATTGGAGACCCTCATATCCATTTCCCTATCCAGCGCTCCATCCAAACGCACCGCGCCGCAGCTATCCCGCCCGCGCCCGCGCCCGCCCTGCGGCCGTCGCGACGCCACAGCCCGCCGCCCCGCCCCGCACTGGAACGTCGCTGGCCGCAGGCCTCCAACCCGCCGCCCGCTTGCCGCTGACCGCCCAACCCGCCTCCCACTCGCCGCTCGTCCTGGGGCTCGGCGCGACCCCGCGACCCCGCGCGCAAGTGGCGCAGCGCGCTCGGTCGCCGCTCGCTTGAGGGCTCGGGCTCGACGACGGCGCCGCGTACTCTGAAATCCTGGGTCCGCCACTGCGTCCCTCCACCGAGAACCTCAGCCTTTCCTTCCTCCCATCGCTTTGTTTCCAAGAGTCCATGTTTCTCTCCCCTGACCTGTCGCTTGCCTGCGGCGTCGTCGCCTTCCCATGGAGGCCCTCATCCCAACTAATCCCACGGGTCCCCTTCCGCTGCACCCTCACATGCAACGCAGCGGCGCCCAAAGTGCCCCTCCCCATCGCCTCGCCAGCCTCCCTCGGGGACGACCCTAGCAAGTGGGACCCCGCCGAGTGCGACGCCCTCCTCCGCGGCGGGGAGCAGGTCGCCTCCGTGCTGCAGGAGATGCTCACGCTGGTCAGGATGCCCTTCCACCGTTTTTTTTGCCCTTCCACTGTTTCTTCGGTTGCTTCACTGAATCACTGACGGCGATTACTAGTATGAATTTATGAAATGAACACAGTGCTTCATAGAATTGCGTAGTTTCTCGGATTTACAATCTTATTAGGTCGTTATTTATATTACAAAAAAGTTAAGCTGTTCCGCAATGAACTGTTCCACTAGTTTGTTTCGTGGCCAGAGAGTATGCTAATGGAGTTGTGAAAGCTTAGCCCATTGCTACAGTTAATTTATCCTCCATTTCCTTTCTTCTACGGCTTACTAGTTTGTTCTAGATTATAATTCACTCTAAAATTGTCCAAGAACTATCATTGGGGGAGTCTTGAATGCTGAATGTGCTTAAGTGTTAATCTCATGTAGTTGTGCAGAATATAACTGCTATTCATGTGGTCTGACTACATGGCTATACCTTATAATTGTATTATTGATATTGTTCTTGTATGTGGTTGGTCGTTGGTGTTTCTAGATGGAGGACATGGAGATGGATGGTGCATTTGAGCCGGTTGCTGTGGAGCTGGTGGCACAGGGAGTTATTGGGAAGAGGGTTGACGAGATGGAGTCAGGCTTTCTTATGGCACTTGATTACATGATACAACTTGCACAGAAAGACGCAGATGATGAGGTACTTGATTGAGTCATTGCCTAACTCAGCCAAAGTACTTGTTTGCATAACACATTATTTATTCTTCACTAGGCGTCATTGTAGAGAGAGAGCAGAACACCTCACACGCCTTGGGTTGGGCTTTCATATATATAGTCACAAGGACTTCAGTACAATTACAATTAGACCCCAAAATATATACATATCTAACACCCCCGCAGTAGTAGCGGGAGGTTCACAAACGCATAGACTAGACCGAAAATTAGTAAATAATTGTATAGGCATGCCCTTAGTCATGATATTTGCGAACTGATGTGAGGACGACACATGCAGAACACGAACTTCACCAAGCGCGACCTTCTCGTGGATGAAGTGAATGTTGATCTCGATGTGCTTGGTCCGGCATTGATGAGTGGGGTTAGCTGTCATGTATACAACACTGACGTTGTCACAGAAGACAACCGTGGTGGAGGGTAGCGGTAGATGGAGCTCCCGGAGAAGCTGGCGCAACCAGCAGCAATCGGCGAAGGCATGGGTGACGGCCACTAGAGCGAGAGACAGTGGTCTGACGCTTGGACGACCATGACACCAAGTTGTCGCCGAGGTAGACGCAGTAGCCCGATTTGGGGCGGCGGGAGTCGGGTCACCCTGCCCAGTCCGCATCTAATATGAGAGATTGGACAGGACCAGTGCCAATGTGTAGACTAGCAGAAAGAGTGCCCTTGACGTAGCGGATAATGCGTTTGACAAGGGCAAGGTGCGGCCCTCGAGGGTCGTGCATGAAGAGGCACACCGCTAGAACGCATAGGCGGATCCAATAAGGTCTCTTATGGCGCCTCGGTGAGGCTACCGTACTCTTATGGGTCGACGACTGGGGCACCATCTGTAGCTGAGAGCTTGGACTTGGAGTCCACAAGTGTCGTGGGTGGGATGGCACTCGGACATGCTAGCACGCCGGAGAAGCTCAATAGCATGGTGGCGCCATGAGGAATAGTCCGTCGGTGGGAGCATGTGACGGAGATGCTTAGAGGAAGTGATGGAGCACGCCGAGGTCATCATCACGAACTCGAAATGAGGCTTGCGGTGATGCGACATAGGAGGTCCGATAAGGAGGCCATCGGACGATGTCGCCGACGTGAGCGACAAGTAGGAGACGTTGTCTCGATCTTTATAAATAAAGAGAGACGTATCACTTGTGGATGGCGTGAATTCGAGTTGGCGAAGATATGGCAAGCCGCTGGTGCCACCACACGGGAGCTTGCTTGGTCAGTCAGAGGACTTCGCAACAAAATGTACATGATCAGTGCGGAGGGAGGATCGACAAAGCCGGAGAGGTCGCTAGTAGTAGACGGTCTCCTCAAGATTGCCATGGAGAAATACATTCTTGAGGTCAAGTTGGTGAATCGGCCATGACCGTGAGGCAGCGATGCTCAGGACGATGTCTCATCGTAGTCCACGCCGTGCTATTGGGAGAAACCGCGAACGGCCCAGCGAGCCTTATGGAGGGCGAGCGACCCGTTGGTGTGGTACTTATGCTTGTAGATCCACTTGCGGATGACGACATTGGCGTGAGGAGGCCGGGAAATGAGGTGCGTGTCCCGAAATCGATGAGTGCCCGATACTCATCGACCATGGTCGCACGCCATTGCGGGTCGACCAGAGCACTCGCAGATAGTTGGAAGGCGAGGGCGAAGCGGCGGCGGTGGAGACAAAGGCGCCGCTATAGTCGTCGATCGCCGGATCTCGGATGGCGCGCTGTCAGTAGCCTCATTGCGGCTCGTCCGCTGCAACAGAGGCGCATGTGGGCGGTGGTGCCTTTGGGCGCCCGATGGCGCGCCCGAGCCATGACCACCGGTGGCGCCGATGTGCGCCGAGTGGTGGTGGCTGTGTTCGGTGATGGCGGGCACCGCGCGCGCACGTAAACGCCGCCGAGGTGGTGTTGGTGGCGCAAGTGGAGCGGAGGACCGTGGGCGATCACCGTGTAAGTCGCCCAGGAGATGAGCGACGAGGGCACGTGACCACGCCTGCCGGGCTGAGTGGGCGTGTCACCCGTGAAGGGTGGGGCGACCGCGTCGCTGTCATCGACGAGGAAGTCGAGCGAAGTTGGGGTAGATGGACCTGCAGAGTTAGTGGAGAAGGGAAACAACATCTCATCAAACGTAACATCGCGGGAAATGATGATGCGGCGTGATGAGAGATCAAGGCAGTGATATCCTTCGTGGGAAGAAGGGTAGCCGAGGAATACGCAGGCAGCGGACCATGGAGTGAGTTTATGTGCAGAAGTGGCACTAAGGTTTGGGTAGTAGAGGCACACGAAGACATGAAGATGGGACAGGTCAGGCTGCTGACTGTAGAGGCGAGAGAAGGGGATCTCATTGCGTATGGCAGAGCATGGGCGGCGATTAAGAAGATAGGTGGCTGTGGTGTGAGCTTCGGCCCAGTAGGCAGAAGGCATGGAAGAATGGAGGAGAGTGCTCACTATATTGTTGATGGTGCACAGGCTGCGCTCGGCCTACGTGGGCTCCGTCTGGGAAGGGCAGGGCGCGATTCCCGCATGTGAGAGACGACTGCATGCGCATGAGTGATGCTTGGACGCGTGGGGACAACCGAAGGGAAGGAGCGGTTGGGAAGAGGCGCCGCGCGTCGGCCAGCGTGTCTTGCGAGGGGAGATCTTGACGCGTGGGACCGGGGAGGGAGGAGTCACAGCGTAGGAGATGGCCGTCTGTGCTGAGCAACCATGGGGTGGGGCAGGGGGGAAGAAGTCACAGCAGAGAGATGGCCACGCACGAACAGCTCGTGGGACTAGGGAGGGGGGGGGGAAGAAGTCCGTGTAAGAGAGAGAGGAGGTGGTCGCGCGGCTGAGGTGCAGCGGCCACACGCGCAGACAGAGGAAGAGTGGTGGGAGGGGCTAGAGCAGCGGACGGAAAGGAACCCGGGCTTCCTTTATGATGTAGAGAGATAGCAGAGCACCTCACACCCCTTGGGTTGGGTGGCGGCTTTCATATAATATAGTCATAAGGACTTCAGTACAATTATAATTAGACCCCTAGATATATACATATCTATCAGTCATCCACTCATTTGCCTATCTTTGTTAAATAGCATAATTCAGCTATGTATTTTGTCTTTGCCATATTCTAAATATTTTTATACCTCGCAAAAAAAATATTTTTATACCAATAAGGTATATCGATGTTTCTTTAACTGTAACAGAGAAAAAAAATATTATTACTAGTGGGTCCAAAGTTGTTTATACTTATTCATGTTAAAGTTAGTACTTGTTGCTTTAATTAGAAGATGCATAAGTCAAAGGGACCTTTCAGATTGCTGTGTTGATGTGATAGCCGTAAAATCCATGTATGCTTCGAGACATTGTTGTCAGACTGGAGTGCTTACTAAATCCTGCTATATGCATATTTCCCCTTAGCTTATTCTACATGCTTTACATGCTTGTCTTATGATGGCAGCGTAAGTCTCTTCTTGAGGTAATTAAGCAGACAGTGCTAGACCATCTGACAAAGAAATGTCCTCCACATGTAAGTGTTGTTTCAAGTGCCCAGTGTTATCTGCTTATATGTGTGTATGGATGTGGGCGTGTTTGTGTCTTCTGACTGGTGGTGTTGTATTTTACAAACCAGGTCCAGGTTGTTGGACTCCTTTGCCAGACTGAAAAGAAAGAGAGCAGGCATGAATTGTTGCGCCGTGTAGCTGCTGGTGGAGGTGTTTTTAAGAACGATAAAGGTCTTAAGTGCCAAATTCCTGGGGCAAATCTTAGTGACATTGCAAATCAGGCAGATGATCTACTAGAGGTAAGTTGAAAAGCATGAGTACAGGCATCCTTTACTGATGGCCTTCCATGAAATAACACAATCTTCATAACCTGATTGTTTGCAATGAAACATTTTCTTTTCCGTAAGTACGTTCAATGATAAGTTGATAGGAGGAGAGTAAAACCTAATTACAATGTAGACTCAGACATTCAGTACACATATATACTCATACTAAAGAGTTCTGTCCTAGACAGGTTTAGACAGATGCCAGTTCATAGATGGACTATGAGACTGTATGACATGTTACATGCTATTATCTTACAATTCTCATTCAATTTTGTGAATGAACAATATTGTTGGTGCATTGAGCATTGGCTTCAGATGCTATATGTTACTCCCTCTGTCCTAGAATATATCTAGTTTTAGACTTTTCCAGACAGATTAAGAAAGCGATTAAATGTCTAAGTTGCCCTTCATTATCTTGGTCAAGTTACATGCGCCTGATAGCCATGTATCTGGTGGGCAGCGCTGCCTAGCATATTTGTTGAAACAAGGAAACCTGCATATTTGTTTGTGCTGCCTGCCATATTTGTGTTTGCATGCTGAGAAGGAAAAGGCAAAGCGAGGGGTATTTATGAGAAACCACCCCTTGGAACCCCCATCAGAACTCAGATATAGCTGTATTTTGGGACAAAGTTTGAGTTATAAATAGCTAATTCTAGGATGGATGGAGTACACTATTTTTGAATCGCTGATGATGGCATGCCTAAAATGAACTTAACACCCAGCCTCTTTGGAGTGGTCCTTGTGACCCAGATCATGTGGTGTAGTAGTGGGCTACCCCTACATTGGAAATTCAAAACAAGTAATGCTAGCAGGCGCATGGCTCCAATATCTCAGCTCCTGTTAACCCCTTTATGCAAAGTTAGGACAATGCAAAGAGTCAATTCTTGACAGGGTGTTATATAAAGATACAAAGGAATACTTCTACGGTTTGCTCTTCAAGAAATAGACAAATGTCAAATTGAAAGCATTGGCTTTACTATTATGTACACAGCACCAGGCCCGCAACTAGCAAATTTTGGACATCTTGTTTGTATGGTACTTGTTTCTGTTAAATTCAATTCCCCTCATCCTCAAGTCATCCAATCTTATACATATCATTTGTTACTTTGAGGTTTGTATGAGAATGCATTGTATTAATACCAGAGTAGATCCATACACAATTCAAAAACTATGAAGTAATCATGAAAATAGAGATTTGGCGAAGCTAACCACAAACACCAAGTTCATTGAACTTCCAACCCTGGGGAGATGCTGGGAGCTGAATGTAGGGTACCAGTCAACTGGAAGTCTTCAAGTGATGCAGGATAGAACTTTAGAGAGTCTGCTGTTTTGAACCATGGGAACTTGGTGTTAGGCGTGCGCATGTCAAATACGCAAAACATAGGAACTTGGTTGCCCCCTAGCAAAAGGGGGTCGCAGTGATCAGGCCCGTGCAAAATCTATCCCTTTTTAGTTAAAGGAATTTAATTGGTTAGCATAAAATAATATCTAATAAATAGAAAATCGAATAGTGGATAATCCGTTATGAAAGAAACGGAATACATTCTTTGAGCAAACGCTCTTTTTCCTAAATTAAAATATGGGTTAGGCGGGCGCATGTCAAATATGCTGGATATAACTGGAGTATATATATAAAAAAACTTGATCAACCTAAGAGGAACTAGGAGACATTTTATTAAGAGGAAAATAGGCACCCAAATTTGCCTCGATGAGGACTTGAACCTGGGTGGTCTAGGCATACACCCACACCCTCGACCAACTGAGCTAGCTCAGCTTCATTATATAACTGGAGAATACGTTTTGTTTCAATAGAAATTGTTATGACCCTAGATCATAGCAGTAAACACCACCAGGAAGATAGCTAGGCAGAGTCGGCTTGGAGAGAGACTAGGGGCTTGTTTGCTTGGTGCCTACTAGGTAGTTGGGAAGCCAATCAAAGATCTAGACCCTAGGCCAATGAAATCTAACACCTGGGATCTTTTGCCTGGCTAGGCAACTTTTGAATCCTCCAAGCAAACGAAGGTGAAGCTGCGGGTGAGGAAGCTGTGGCGAGCCATCGAGGACGGTACCGAGGACGAAGAAGAGGACTCCGCGGCAATGGAGGCGATCCTGTCTGCCGTGCCTCACGAGTATGTGGAGCCACTGGGGACCAAGGCTTTGCCAAGGCTGCCTAGGACGACCTTAAGGCCATGTGCGTCGGCTCGGACCGTAAAGAAGGCGAAGGCGCAGCAGCTGCAGCGGGAGTACGAGGCGATGGCGTTTCGTGATGGCGAGGCGGCGGAAGACTTCGTCCTCAGGCTGCAGTCTCTCATCAGCCAGCTGGCGGCGCTTGGCGTCACCATCACCGACGAGGAAGCGGTCGCCAAGTACGTATGGGTGGTGCCCTGCAGGTATCCGTAGATCGTGCTCTTTATAGAGACACTGATCGACCTGTCCACCCTCTCTCTCAAGGATGTGACAGGGTGCTTGAAGGCGGCCGAGGACCGAGACGGCGACAACGATGGATGGTGACATTGCTGCTGATAGAGGAGTGGGCGGCTCGCATGCACGAGTGGCGGTCCTAAGAAGGCTCCTCTAGCCGCGGCGGTGATGGGAAGCGCCGCGACAAGACCTCGCAGAAGAAGGATGGTGACGACGACGCGCTGCGTCTGATCGGCAAGGATACTCGTCGACAGTGCAGGAAGACAGGGCATTGGGCCCGAGATTGTAAGACTCCCAAGGAGGAGCAGGCGGAACTCGCGTTGGTGGCCGACAAGGAGCCCACGCTCCTGACGGTGCAGTTCTGTGCATGACGCCGAGGAGCCGGTGTCGAGGGAGGAGTTGAGGGCTGTGGAGCAGAGGAAGGTGAAGCAGAGCATCCTCCTCGACGAGTTGTGCGCCCAAGTCCGTATCAGAAGTGAGGGCGGCGGTGCGGAGCAGAGGTGGTACCTGGACTCAGGGGCCAACAACCACATGACCGGCGACAAGGGCGCGTTCTCGGAGCTGGACGGCAGTGTTCTCGGCTCCGTGAAGTTCTACGATGGCTTGTCATTAGACATCTGCGGCCTCGGCACCATCATCTTCCGGTGTCAGAATGGGGAGCACTGTGCGCTGATGGATGTGTACTACATCCCGAAGTTCCGATCGAGCATTATCAGCATTGGGCAGTTGGACGAGCGCGGGTGCGAGGTCCTCGTCAATAGCGGTGTTCTACGCATCCGCGACCGAGTGTCATCTTTTCGCCAAGTTATAGCGTTCTAGAAGCCATTTGTATATGTTGAATTTGAAGATTGTGTAGCCAGTTGGCTTGGCGGCGTGGCAGAATGAGGAGCCGTGGCTATGTCACGCTCGGTTTGAACACCTAAGCTTCGACGCACTCGGAAGGGTAGAGCAGATGGTACGCGGGCTGTAGCACATCAAGCACGCATGCGAAGCATCGACAGCTTACTGGCGAAGCAAGCGAGAGGCCGCTTTTCCCAAGGTGGCCAAGCACTCGCGTCGGCACGACACCGCGAGCTCGTCCATGGTGATCTCTGCGGGCTAATCACTCTAGCCATGCATGGAGGGTGGCGGTACTTCCTGCTACTTGTCGACGATTGCAGACGGTTCATGTGGGTACAGCTCCTAGAGAGCAAGGATGAGGCAGCGGCGGCGATCAAGGCTTTCCAGGCTCGAGCAGAGGCGGAGTCTAGGAAGAAGCTGCGTGTGCAGAGGACGGACCGTGGCGTGAAGTTCAGCTTCGATGAAGATTCGCGGAGTATTGTCTTGATCGTGGCATGGCGCACAATTTGACCAAGACTTCCATACCCGCCATGATGAAACGGCGTTGTGGAGCATCGAACGGATCGACGCGTCGGCATGGCGTGCAGCATGATGAAGGCAAAGCGCATGCCGGTGGAGTTCTGGGGGTAGACAGTGAGCATGACAGTGTTCATTCTCAACCACGCGCTGACGAAGATCTTGAAGGGCATGACGGCGTTCGAAGCTTGGTATTGGAGGAAGCCCGACGTCTCGTTTCTGAGAACGTTCGGGTGCGTCGGCCACATCAAGGCGATGAAGCCACACCTGACCATGCTAGAAGACAGGAGCACCATACGAGGCTGGCAGCAAGGCGTACCGACTGTTTGACTCGCGCGGAGGCAAGGTTGTCATCTCGGGCGACGTGGTGGTTGACTAGAAGGCTGATAGTTAAGCCTACTGCCTGTATCTTACTTTTCCTATCATTTACCTTGGTTGCTAATAGCCTAATATTAGGAATATGCTCAGCACCCCTTTAGTGGTTAGGAAAATGCTGTAGCAGGCGAGTGGGAGAGGTGAGGGGGAGAAGAGCCATCTGCTCTATAAAAGCAGTGGCATAGACCACTTTGTATTCAGCTATTGCAACAACAACAACAACAAAGCCTTTTAGTCCCAAGCAAGTTGGGGTAGGCTAGAGTTGAAACCCAACATGAGACCCTAGTCACGGTTCAGGCACGTCAATAGCTGTTTTTCAAGCACTCCTATCCAAATAAAGATCTCAAGGGATAACCCAACCCTTTAAATTTCTTTTAATTGCCTCCTCCCATGTCAGCTTCGGTCTTCCTCTACCTCTTCTCACATTGATATCTCGACTTAGAACTTCACAACGCACTGGTGCTTCTGAAGGCCTCCTTTAGACATGGCCAAATCACCTCAACCGATGTTGGACAAGCTTCTCTTCAATTGGTGCTACCCTTAGATGGTCACGTATATCATCGTTCCGAACTCGATCTATCCTTGTGTAACCACAAATCCAACGCAACATACGTATTTCCGCGACACTCAGTTGTTGGACATGTCATCTTTTTTTAGGCCAACATTCTGCGCCATACAACATAGCGGGTCTAATCGCTGTTCTATAAAACTTGCCTTTCAGCTTTTGTGGTACCCTCTTGTCATAGAGAATGCCAGATGCTTGGCGCCACTTCATCCACCCTACTTTAATCCTATGGCAAACGTCTGCATCAACATCTCCA